AAAAAAATGGTAGTTTAACTGAAGCATTAGGTCTAAAAAGAAACATACGTAACCGGCCATTTTCATAATTTTGTTCAGCCGAGTCTGTTTCTCCCTTTTCGTTTCTACCTTTTCTATTAGAAAATATTTACTTCACAAATGGCTTGGTTTGTGTTTCTAAACATTACCAACCAACCAATTCCCCCGCTCTCCGCCCCTCACTGTTCTCCCCGGCTTCTCGTTGATAGGCCCAAGAAAAGACAGTGGAATCTTCTTCGACTATCTGGCGAAAGAAAAAAAAAAAACAACGCCATCTACTAAGTCCCGGATGTAGCGTTCGCATCGCGGCCTGTCTCCGTACATCAATGTCAACGTCCGATGAAGTCTCGTTGCAAATAAACAACACTTAATGAAAGTAATGTCTTTAGATCTGCTGAGATACGCGCCTTGTGAGAGTCCTTGAAACAAAGTGGCGGTCTCGTTTATTGAATAGATTCAACCTCGGACTACTAGGATGCGTAGTGAACGGGAGAATGTGTGTTTTGTTCCCCGAATCCTCGTCTTTTGATACAAAACTTGGAGGACTTTTTTTTCACCTTATATAATTACATAAATGGTTCTATTTAAACCTGTTATGTGAATAATGTATCTATATATCACCTTTAAATGCATTTCTATAGTAAAAACATGTACAATGCAATTCTATAGTAAGATTGTTTATAGTGATTACTATAATAAAATCATAAGCAATGTATCCACATTATGTAGATAATGAAGATATTCTATCAGTAGAACTTGAATTAATTATTCTCATTCCCTTTTTTTCTGATTTTCAATGTATTGTTATAGTAACATTATGCGTAATTATATCTATAAGAAAATTATACATATAATCAGAGTCAATACATTCGAATTATGTAGTTAAACACTAGACATTCTATTAGTGGAAACTACATTGATTCTTGTTATGCACATTTTGTATGAGTTTCAATCTATTTCTATAGTAAAAGCATCTCCAACGAATTTCTCTAGTAAGATTATTTATATTGATTTCTATAATAAAATCATAAGCAATGCATTAATATTATGTAGTTAATAGGGATATTCTATCAGTGGAACATTAATTCTTCTCTTTCACTTTTTGTCTGATTTTCAATGTATTTCTATAGTAAAAGCCTGTGCAACACAATCTATAGTAAGATTATGCGTAATTATATCTATAGTAAAATCATACGCAATGCCTTCGCATTATATAGTTATTCACTAGATATTTTATCAGTGGAACGTACACTAATTCTTGTTAGTCACTTTTTGTATGATTTTCACTGCATTTTCAATGTCTTTCTCTATAGTAAAAGCATGTGCTATAGCAATGATTACTCATAACAAGTAATGCATTCACATTATCTAGTTAATATTTCTCTTCTGTCTGTAGAGCTTAATTTAATTCTTATGAGTCTCTTTTTGTTTTGGTTATTCATGAATTTCACTAGTAAACTCAGTTTCTGTTGTAAAATAATTTTCTAATGAAATTATATAGTAAAACATTGCTAATACATCTACATTATACATATCAAAACCTTTTTCGATCAGTGACGCTTGCATTAATTGCTAATAATAACGCTTTGTCGTATTTCCATATGTACATTATACAAACCGTGTAATGAAACTTCTTAACAAAAAATAAAACCTGTAAATTAATATTTAATATTTTTTTTTCGCAGAGTAGTGCTATAGACGGTGGGAATCAATAAGAAATTCTTAAATTTTGCCTTCAAAAACAGGGTCTACATAAAGACTGGACACATAAGCAAAAATGCATATTTTCAAAAACTGAAATTTTAAACAACATTTTATTGAATCGGAACATCTTCAATATGATTTCCATAATTTGTTATGCAAAGTTTGATGCTCTTTGCAAAATTCCCGTTAACTCGATGTAATAACTTTATATTGTCTTCAATTTTAACACATTCATTATTTATGCGTTCAATCAAATGTGTTGCAACTGTGATTTTCTTTGAGCACTCCTTCTCATTTAGCATAACCCAGAAAAAGAAAGTCAATTCTTTCTTCTTTCAACAGAACTATGTTTAATCTGTGGAGGTAAAACAATATTTGGCTGGTACAAAAGTAATGTGTGATTATTGAGAAGAAAGGTTTTTTTTTTACTGACATTTGTGCTTCTCGTTAAAGAATATGACAATAAGTACATTATAATTTCTCTTTCATATTATACAAATACTTTTCATGATCTTTCATTCGCACCCATGTTCGTCTCATCAAAAGATCCCATTCGCCAATATCTTACTATATGACTTTCATAAAGGTGTCAATGCAAGTGCAGCGACAAAGTCTATCCAGAACTCTTATGGAGATGATGCAGGGAATGAAAGAAGTTGCAGGAGGTGATTTTCCCGTTTCCGAAGTGGGGATTTCAGTTTGAAAGACAAGCAAAAAAGAAGGTCGTCCAAAAAAACTTGATGAGTTGGAAGCAGTTGTCACAGACAATGCCACCATTACCTCTAGGGAATTTGCAGAACAATTTAATATAGACCATACAACCGTGATACACCAATTAAAAAGAATCGCAAAGGTTTCAGTGGCCGGGTAATAGGCCCTATACCAACTGTCCCCAGAGGAATAGATATATTTGCCTATCATTCGGTTCACACTTCTCTCCCTTATTTCCTGTTTAGGATTCGGTTTTCGGTTTTTTATAAAGTCTATTTCAAATCTATATTTACACTCTAACACTGACATTTATTTACTGTTTGTTTTTTCTCAATAAGACGAGCTAGATTCATCGCCTGTTTTCAGGTTCATATTCCTCCACGGCCTTTTGAACAGGGGTAGTGGTTTATCCTTGTTTCCTTTTCAGGATTGGGTTTCCTTCTATAGATTTTTTAAGTTTCTTTCGCTTCCAGTAGGCCCTTGCCTCTTAATAATATCATCGACACGCTTGCAATTAATTGATTAAAAAATCCCCTTATTTTAAAACTCTATTTAACCCAGTTATTATATAACTAAATCCAAGAACCAACGCCTTGATCCGCTATATTTTCCCATGGGTTAAACCTGAATCTAGAACTTGGAGCCCGAAACCTAATGTCTATGAGTGCTGGATTTGCAGTAAGTACTTACTCTCATGCACCATCGCTTTTCATTTTTTTTTTACTGCTGCTACTGAAACATTGCTGGAATTTCTCTTTCGTTCTTTATTCAGGGTTTCCTTATTTTATTGAGGAGCTCTAATAGCCTACCATAAATAAAGGGTTCAGCTCGAAATTCCCCGAAGGTTACACTGATTGACAGACACCTGAAGAAGACCAGATAGAAAAATAGACGAAACGTTTTGACAATAGTAACAAATATAAAGATGTCAGTCCGAATGTAAATAATGTAAATAATTATAACGCATCCTCCCAGATATTCAGACAGAAAATTGAAAAGTAATAATAGATAGATAGATAGATAGATAGATAGATAGATAGATAGATAGATAGATAGATAGATAGATATAGATAGATAATGATCTGACAGAAAGATAGATAGATAAAATATTGGGTGATCTGTCCATGTTAAGATATAATGATCACTGTCATTGCTGCACACAGCACTGTGAATCTACTTTGCTAACATAATTCATCTTTCTTTCTGACAGAAAATTGAAAAGTAATAATAGATAGATAGATAGATAGATAAAACATTTACAATAAGGTGATCTGTCCATAGATAAAACATTGGGTGATCTGTCCATGTTAAGATATAATGATCACTGTCATTGCTGCACACATAGATAAAATATTAGATAGGTGATCCCTGTGAATCTACTTTGCTAACATAAAGTCATCTTTCTTTCTGACAGAAAATTGAAAAGTAATAATACATAGATAGATAGATACATAGATAAAACATTGGGTGATCTGTCCATGTTAAGATATAATGATCACTGTCATTGCTGCACACAGCACTGTGAATCTACTTTGCTAACATAAGTCATCTTTCTTTCTGGCAAAAAATTGAAAAGTAATAATAGATAGATAGATAGATAGATAGATAGATAGATAGATAGATAGATAAAATATTGGGTGATCTGTCCATGTTAAGATATAATGATCACTGTCATTGCTGCACACAGCACTGTGAATCTACTTTGCTAACATAAGTCACCTTTCTTTCTGACAGAAAATTGAAAAGTAATAATACATAGATAGATAGATAGATAGATAGATAGATAGATAGATAGATAGATAGTCCGAATGTAAATAATGTAAATAATTATAACGCATCATCCCAGATATTCATACAGAAAATTGAAAAGTAATAATAGATAGATAGATAGATAATAGATAGATAGATAGATAGATAGATAGATAGATAGATAGATAAAATATTGGGTGATCTGTCCATGTTAAGATATAATGATCACTGTCATTGCTGCACACAGCACTGTGGATCTACTTTGCTAACATAAGTCATCTTTCTTTCTGACAGAAAATTGAAAAGTAATAATACATAGATAGATAGATACATAGATAAAACATTGGGTGATCTGTCCATGTTAAGATATAATGATCACTGTCATTGCTGCACACAGCACTGTGAATCTACTTTGCTAACATAAGTCATCTTTCTTTCTGGCAAAAAATTGAAAAGTAATAATAGATAGATTGATAGATAGATAGATAGATAGATAAAATATTGGGTGATCTGTCCATGTTAAGATATAATGATCACTGTCATTGCTGCACACAGCCCTGTGAATCTACTTTGCTAACATAAGTCATCTTTCTTTCTGATAGAAAATTTAAAAGTAATAATAGATAGATAGATAGATAGATAGATAGATAGATAGATAGATAGATAGATAAGACATTGGGTGATCTGTCCATGTTAAAATATAATGATCACTGTCATTACTGCACACAGCACTGTGAATCTACTTTGCTAACATAAGTCATCTTTCTTTCTGACAGAAAATTGAAAAGTAATAATAGATAGATAGATAGATTAAACATTGGGTGATCTGTCCATGTTAAGATATAATGATCACTGCTGCACACAGCACTGTGAATTTACTTTGCTTACATAAGTCATCAAATTCTGTCTTTCTTTCACTTTCTTTCGTGGTATTCCACTCTTCTCTGTCAACCTCCCGCCCTTTTCCACCGAACAGAATTTTCGCTAACAACAATGCACCAACCTTATCCCAAAACAAGTGATGCCACACGCGATTTTATTTACCCTAATTTTTTCTACTTGGCTCCTTTCCATTATGAGAGACTGATATCACTGCTCGGTCCCTCCTATCAACCTACCCCCCACCCACCCACTGATACTGACGCTCCCTTTTTCTTATTATCCACAACTCTCCATCAACACTTTGATTACTTACCACATATATAGCAGCTCATTATCATAAATCACATCATTTTCTGTCTTCGAGGATAATGATGGCGATAAATAAGATTAGAAGAAGAAGAAGAAGAAGAAGAAATGAGGATAAAGAGGAAGAAAAGGCAGGATAATGACAAAGACGAGATGCTATATAAGATATCGGAGGACAAAAACAAGTTATATGATAGAGGCATGAGAAGTGGCAAATAACGCGAGATATTCACGAAGACGAGATGTTGTATGAGACAAGAGAGGTAAATAAAAAAAGATTACAAAGACTAGCTGTTACATAACCTACAGGAGAATACAAAAATGGTTCTTTTATTATAGAGGCGGGATCTATAAGAAGAGGCAAATAACGTGAGATATTGACGAAGACGAGATGTTGTATGAGACAAGATGTCAATAAAGAAAATTACAAAGACTAGCTGTTGCATAAAATATTGGAGAATAAATAGTTGTATGATAGAAGAATGATCTATAAGAACAGGCAAATAACGTGAGATATTGACGAAGACGAGATGTTGTATGTGACAAAATAAAGAAAATTACAAAGAAAAGCTTCTGTATGATAGAGGCATGATAAATAATACGATATGTTATCGGAAGTCATTGATTAGTTTTATTAACAATTTATGTGTTATTTAAAGAATATATTTTATATTGAAAGAATAATTCTTTTTTTTTTCTAGTTAAAATTAATTGATACTAGTCCTATTATTTAACACACCTGGAGGGAGAAGCTGGATTTGTACTTTTCCCAATTGTATTTGTGCGTAAGTGTGGCGGTCAGGGATGATATATTTCATTTGGGTTTCATTAGGATTCTCAGATGGAAAAGATCTAGAAGTGTGCCTGTTCAAGACAACTTTCAATTTGCAATTTGATATGTAGGTTGCATAAGATCAAAAATTAATTCAGAAATACCATTAACCTTTCACCTTGTGAAGAAGACCAGCATACCAAACCCAGTCAGATGCCTTCGAGGTATCCAAAGCAACTACCTGAGCTTTATCATTCTTACCTAAAGTTTGATACTCTTTTTCAGCAATAACTGTTAATACATCAGAGAAGTGAACGCCATATTGCTTACCTGAAAGATAGAAAGAAGACCCTGTGATATGAGATGCTTAACCAATTCAGTTGATTAGAACCTCTAGACAGTTCTGTGCCATGCGTGATACATGACTGACGAGGCAGATTTTTTATCCCGCAGCAGGTTGCCATTTTATTTCTGCGGTTGACCAGATGACATCCAAGATTATAGAACCCGGTCTGTCCTGCTATTTACCCATAGCTGAGTGGAGGAGGGAAGAAAAGGATTCATATTAGCACGTAAGCGAACGTAATGGATTCGACTGTAATTCGAACTCGGCGCTCTGATTTCTCAATACGAGCCGCTATCCATTAATCCATGAACCCGATCGTAATTAGAACTCGGATCTCCGATTTATACCGGGCAGCTATCCATTACACCACATTCCGGAAACAGAGTCTTGTGAGACGAAAGAGATAAAAAGTGAAAAGCATAAAGACGTGATGTTGCATTATGAAGGTGCAATCTTGTATAAGAAGATGGAGATAAAATGGAGAAGAAACGAAGATGTTCTATAAAGCGTCATAAGACAAGGATTAGTTGCCTGATAGAGGCATGATGCATGAGAAAAGACAGTGCGATGTATTGACGAAGACGGGATGTTTCATGAGACAACAGAAGTAAATAAATAAAATTACAAAGACGATATGATGCATGAGGCATTCGAGGAAATAGACTAGTTGTATGAGAGAGGCGTGATCTATGAGAAGAGGCAGATAACGCGAGATATTAACGAAGACGAGATGTTGTATGAGACAGGAGAGTTAAAGAAAGATATTCATCAAGAGGAGATGTTCTATGAGAAGTATTGATCCGTCATTCATTCACACAAGCTTGTTGGGTAGGTTACTCGCTGTTTCTCTCTGTCCCTGTTATCCTCAGTATGTGATGCGAGTGTCAAATTTTCCATGCCCTCTTTCCTCATTATGTCGGAGAATTTTCAGCTGTCCCTTTTCTGATTCTTAGCATCACGTTACTTTTTGTTTCCATTATCCTTAGAGTTTCCTTGTTACTCATACGTTTAATTCATAGAATTCTCAGCATTGTTACGAGGATGCATTTCTATAATAAGGGATTATACTGAGTCCTACTTGTTATTACAAAAAAAGTTTTTTATTCATGAAGTAGTTGTAAAATAGAGAAATTAGAAATAGAATGTTTGGAATATTCTAGATTATTCTAGTATATTCGATAAAAATCTAGATGATTCGAGAAACATCTAGAAATATGCTAATTAGGTGCTAGCCCCCTATAAAAATAGGTTTTTGGAAAAGGGTTGTCAGTTGGTAAATGGAAATTTCTGCGAATATCAACTCTGGCTTTTGATTCGAGGATTATTATATCCAGCCGAAAGAATCTCTATGAAAAGTTGCCGACCAACAAAAACTCCAAAAGAGAACCCCTTGGAACAAATCTGGTAAATAGAGTTTTGGCTATTTTCATTGACCAAACTACCAATTATTCAATATATACTAACATTGATGGATTTCCAGTTATTAGCACTTAGATTACTTCTCTAGCCTTAATGTGTTAAAGGTACTTGACTCTCCTTTCCTTCTCCCTCGTAACACTTCGCCTGTAAACTCTGTGTTTTCTGTTTTTGTATGCCACAATTGTTTATCTTGTATATATTTTATGTTGTGTTTTAGTAAATTAAATATTTGTTTGTGATTTAGCTCTGTGTTTTGGTAAATCAAATTTTTTTTCTTTGTTACAATTTCCAACACGTAACAGCATCCTTCTGTAGAACTACATTTCTCTTGTCTCAAGTTTCTTCTTCATCCGTGAGGGAATCGTTCAGCATTCAGTGCCATAGAGGAGGGCTGATATTGCACAAGACTTCAGCACTTATTCCTGTGATTTTTATCGAGATTTTCCCGTTTCTTAATACTTTGCTTAGCATTTGAAAGGCATCTTTCATTATTCCAATGCACCTTCGGATGTTAATGTTTTTTCCGTCTTCTGTTAAAACACTTACCAGATACTTAAATATTCTTACTTGCTTGATTCTGACATCTCTCATTCGCCATTCGACACGTTTTGGTAATTCTTTATGCTGACAACTATAAATTCTGTCTTCTTATTTTACTTTATGTGTCTGCTATTAACACTGTATCATTTGCATATATTTTAACTATTGTTCACCCAATATATATATATATATATATATATATATATATATATATATATATATATATATATATATATTTAAATAGAGTAATTGACAAACTAGTCAATTATGTGCCATGTGCCATGCGTGATACACGCGTAAGCGATCATGTATCTTTCGATACAAGAATGACGAGGCTGATTTTTACCGCAGTAGGTTGCCATTTCTTTCTGCGGCAGACCAGATGCCATCCAGAGCTATAGAACCTAGACTGTCCTGCTAATTTACCATAGCTGGGGGGAGAGAAGAAGAGGATTCATACCTCTCCCAAAGGTATTAGCACGTAAGTGAATGTAATGGATTCGACTGGAATTAGAACTCGGCTCTCCGATTTCTTAACCAGAGCCGCTATCCATTACCGCACCGTAACTCCATATTTTATGTATGACTAGGCAGCCAAGAGTCCTGACTTATCACCGTGTGACTTTTTCTTCGGGATTGGTTAAAGGAGGAAGTCCAATATACCAAACCAAGACTGAAGGGCGAATACAAGACGTTATATCTTCCATACCACAAGAGTTCCAGTTGAAATCAGTTCAGACGATTCATGACCAGCTTGAGATGTTGGTAGCCCAAACTTCTTCTGTTAAAACTTATTTTTCATGAAAATAGATTTCTTAAGTCCAGCAACTGTTATTGCTTTTTGATGCGCATTGTGGTGTTATAGATATCGGCTCGAATTGAGAACTTGGAGAACCATGTTCGAATTCCAGTCGAGTTCGTTACTTACGCACAAATACTCTTGGGAAAGGTGTGAATCCATCTTTTCTCTCCCCACCTATGGGTTGAGTAGCAGGACAGACTGGGTTCTTTATCCTGGTTTGACAACCAGTCTGCCACAGTAAAAAATGGCAACCTATTGCGGGAACAAAATCTGTCTCGTCAGTCATGAATCGAAAGATACATGATCGTCCAAGCGTGTATAACGTATAGCACTTAACTGATTGACCTTACTGATGGGGGTTTCCTTCCTAAGCTTTTATTTTAAGTAGTGTGGAATATGAACAGCTTCAGCTAGACAGTCTGAAACTCAAGAAAAAGCTAACAGAAGACGTACAAAAAATGCTCATCGGACTGCAGCAGCTAGACAGTCTGAAACTCAAGAAGAAGCTAACAGAAACGTACATTAGATGCTCATCCGACTGCAGCAGCTAGACAGTCTGAAACTCAAGAAGAATCTAACAGAAGACGTACATTAGATGCTCATCGGACTGCTCCAGCTCGACAGTCTGAAGCTCAAGAAGAAGCTAACAGAAGACGTACATTAGATGCTCATCGGACTGCAGCAGCTAGACAGTCTGAAACTCAAGAAGAAGCTAACAGAAGACGTACATTAGATGCCCAACGGGCTGCAC